CCAGTACTAAGCCCTGGTCTGAGCATCTGCTGGAGGAGAAGCTCCTATAAGATGCAGGGGATGACATAACCTACCCATTGTTACAGCACTGTGGAGGACAGGGTCTCAAACTCGGGTCTTCAGGAGCCCATGGATTGGGTTTTATGTGATTAGACCACCTCTCGAGATTAAGCTTGCCTCCTATCTCTATTCTTTCTCCTACATCTAGCCCACTCTTCCAAGTGTCAATGTAATATTCCACTGAGTGGCCCACAAGTCCTTAAACTTGACACTGAATTCAACACTTTCCCTGAATTCTGTTAATCCTTAGGCTCCTTATCCCAGAGGAGGACACTGTTATCCACTCTTGGCATTCAAGCCCATAAAATCTTCACCTCTCACTCTGCTATTCAGTCAGTTTTGAGATCTGTTAACCCAGCCTCCCAGACTCATCTTCTAGCTTCATTCCAGCTGGCACTGCCCTCATCCAGACTTAAATTTTCACATCTAAACTCTAGAAACAGCCTAGAGGCAATCTCATCTACCTGACCTACCCACTGTGACCTTCCCGAAACACCATACTGAACTGTTTCCCATCTTTTTCTTGGGCCAAAATTCACAAAGCAGAATGCAAGGCTCTTCCCAAACATTCCAGCCTCTCCTTCCTCTGCACTGGATAAATCTATTTTAAAAAGACTTCTTTAGGATATCACTTTGAAGACTAAACTGGGATTTTTCAATCATCTTTCAAGAATGCAAGGGGAGTTCTGGTGGCCTAGTGGTAAGCTTCTATGCTGCCATCCTGAAAACACAAGGTTCAAACCTACCAGCTGCTCCATGGAAGTAATATGGGCAATCTCTTCCCATGTGAATTACTGCCTCTGAAAACCCACTTTTTAGTGGGGTCAGCTAGAGTTGGTTCCAAATATATGGTGTATAACAACATCAGTATATGCGTATGAAACCGGGACAATGAGTCAGTTAGACCAGGAAAGAAATGATAATTTTGAATTATGGTGTTGGTGAAAACAAAATATTAAATATAACATGGACTGCCAGAAGGACGAACAGATGTGTCTTGCAGGAAGTACAGCCAGAATGTTCCTTAGAAATGAGGATGGTGAGACTCCATCTCGTATGTTGTTGTTGTTGTTTGATGCTGTCAAGTCGTAGATGACTCATAGCAACCCTATGAACGAACGGCCTGAGCACTGTTCGTACATAGAGTTTCTGGAGGCAAGCCATTGCAGAAGTGGATGCCGCTCCTGCTTCCAGCCATCTCATATACTTTGGAGATATTACCAGGAGGTACCAGTCCTTGGAGAACAACATCATGCTTAGTAAAGAGTCAGTCGTATGATGCTCAGTTAAGATGCTCAATGAGATGGGTTGATGCAATGACTTCAGTAGTAGCCTCAAACATAACAATGATTGTGAGGATGGAGTGTTTTGTTTTATTGAGCATAGATAGGGTCACTTGCTATGCAACAACTCGACAGGACATAACAACTTCTTCCTCTCCCACCATCTGCTTCCTCCTTCTGCCTTCCACTCCTCAGAACTTTTAATATTTCTCAACTCTCTAGGTTCCTCCTCCTTGAGGGCTATGTATCCTTATTTTCTCATCAGTTCTAGACCCTACTCCCAGATGCAGAGCCTCCACCACAGAGTCTAAATACTTACCATACTGTGACCTGTTAAATGGATAAAGGGTGAAGGTCCCTTCTAGTCCTGTAACTTCCCATGAGCCTATACAAATGTGCTATGTACACAGGTACTGAGAGATGCCGTGATCATGGGACAGACAGAATTCTGGAATAGGCTATGCATAGGTAGGAATCACAGCTCCAGCACTTGCTATATCAACACACGTGAGTCCACATGCTCAGCTTCCCCAAGTCTGCTTTGTCTTCTATTAAATGGAAATAATAATGTCTACCCTTCAATAGTAGTATTCAGGAGTATATCGGGAGATGTTTTGCACTGGGAAAGTCTGCAGCCAATCTGCATTCTGCAGTCCAAATTATTGAGGAACAATGTCATTAGTGTGAGGACAAATGTATGCCTGAGTCAGATCATGGTCTTTTACATCACTTGCTGTACATCTGAGATCTGGACAATGAATAGGATGACAGAAGGAAAACCAATACCACTGAACTGTGTTATTGGAGAAGAGTACTGACTATGCCACAGACTGCCAAAAGAACAAACAGCTATGTCTTGGCGAGGGGACAGCCATAGTGCTCCCTGGAAGCATGGTGAAGCCTCATCTCATATACTGTGGGCATGTTACTAGGAGAGACGATACCTTGGAGAAGGACATTATGCTTGGAAATGTGGACGGACAGGAAAGGAGAGGAAGAACCTCACCCTGATGGTCTGACACTATGACTGCAGCAGCAGCAGGCTCAAATGTGTCACAGATTGTGAGGTTGGTACAGGATAGATAGTACAGGCTTTAGATCTGTTGTTCATAGGGTCCCTATGAGTTGCACCTGACTTGACAGCACCCAACAACAACAATCCTTCAGAATCTGTGATTTAATGGCAGTAATAGGATGAGGGGTGGTTTCTATGTGAGAACACTGGTGGTGATGTGACTGGGAGTGAGGAAGGAGAGGAATCAGAAGCACAGAGATGGCAGCATCTCATACCAGGCTTTGCTCTGTTTAAACAACTGGGACTGACTGGGATGCCAGGGAGGCAGAGGAGTTGGAGTAGAGTTAAGGGTGCAGTTAGGGATGGTAGCTGGAGTTAGAGTGGGCCTAACTCAGGCAAGGCAAGTCCACAGATGGGAGGTGCTTTGAGGCCAGTTCAAACTAAAGAGGCCAAGGATGAACATTCATTGTGTACATGGGTCATAGTACCTCTGGGCATCTAAGAAGTGACAGCATGACTTGATGGGCATATAGGGATCCACTTTTTACTCTATCTGTTGAAGAATGTGGCACTGGCACAAGAAATGTCACAGAGGAGTTGAGATAGCGGAAGCATGCAGCAGTCTCTCCCCCGGGTCTGTGGGGCTGGAAACGTGCAAGGATGGCAAATCAGGGTAAGTGACCAAATATGATTTCCTTCATTTTTAGCAGTTTTGTGGTCTGGAGACCTTACTAGGAAAGGCAGTTTTCTTCCCCACAGCTGTGTTCTTCATCCAGTGGCCTTTGGAGGTGTTTGAGTATATCCTGTATATTAGACATCTTCATAGAACAATAGAGCTAGAAGAGAACATTTAATTCAGTGTCCCCAAGTTACAGACGGGAACTGAGACCCTGAGAAAAGGGTCAGACAGCAAGGTAGTAGCCTGGGTCTCCTGTCTCCCAAGAAGTGCCCTTTTCCACCTAATACTGTCTCCTGAACTGATGAGTCAGGCAGAAGAAGTGGAAACTATCTTGCACATTAAAGGAGTCCTCTGGGACTTCCCAATTTTGAACCATGGGATGCATCCTATCTCCATACCTTTTCAACCTATATGCAGAACAGATTATCCGGGAGGCTGGGCTCTATGAGGAGAAATGTGGGGTCAAGATTGGTGGACGAATTATCAACAATCTGCGTTATGCGGATGACACAACCCTGCTTGCTGAAACTGAGGAGGACCTGAAGCGCCTGCTGCAGAGTGTCAAGGACTGCAGCCTACGATATGGACTGAGGCTCAATGTCAAGAAGACAAAGATTCTCACCACTGGACCAATTGGCAGCATCAGGATGGATGGTGAAGAGATTGAGATTGTACACAGCTTTAGTTTGCTTGGCTCCATAGTCAACAGTCTTGGCACCAGCAGCCAGGAAATTCAAAGGCGCATTGCCATGGGAAAGTCTGCTGTTAGGGACCTCTCCAAGGTGCTGAAGAGCAGTGGTGTCTCTCTGGAGACTAAGGTGCGTCTGATACAGGCCATGGTCCTCGCAATCACCTGTTATGCATCAGAGAGTTGGACAATGACCAAGGAGGATAGAAGGAGAATTGATGCCTTTGAGCTGTGGTGCTGGAAAAGAGTATTGAGAATACCATGGACTGCTAGGAAAACAAACAGATTTGTCCTGGAGAGGGTTAAACCGGGTGGCTCCTTGGAGGTAAGGATTCTGAGGCTCCGTCTAACTTACTTTGGACATGTTGTGAGGAGAGACAGGTCCTTAGAGAGGGACATCATGCTTGGGAGGGTGGAGGGATGGCGCAGGAGAGGAAGGCCCTCTATGAGGTGGATTGATTCAGTGACTGGGATAATTGGGATGGGAGTGTCAGAGACAGTGCGATTGGCACAGGACAGAGCGGAGTTTAGGGCTGTTGTACATAGGGTCGCTATGAGTCGCAAGTGACTCAACGGCACATAACAACAACAACAACTGGGACTTCAGAGAGCAAGACTATTGGGAGGTTCTGCAGCTCTCTTGACCAAGACTGCTCTGTATGTAGTCCCTCTGAGATCTCTGCCCCTTCTCTAAGCTGTGCACTGCTCTGGTCCTCTACCCCGTATGGTGACTGGTCCAGGCTCATAGTGTCTGTGTCATGAGCAGACATCAGCATTCTTGTGTCTCTTTCTCTTCTGCTGGCAGGGAGGCTCAGGTTCAGGTCTTGGTATGTGCCTAGAGAGGCACATGTACCTCATCTGACCACAGTGGGCTGCCAGATGAGGAAGCCCCATTGGCCTAACGGGATCAGTGGTTGGGAGTCCAGGAGGTGGTAGCAAGCAGGGAAGGAGCATCTGAACAGGTGACTGGAACATCTGTCCAGAAGAGGGCGTGATGTCCTGTGTTTGGTAGCAGTCTGTACCTGGCAGAGGCCTGGAGAGCTAGACTTCCCATTATTGGCAAGTCGGCTCCCAGGCAGATCCCAGAAAGACAGCAGAATCCAAACTCAGCCTCAGCCAGCTGCAGGCACCCATCCCATGCACAGGCAACGCAGACCAGCATGTGGTTTAGCTTCCCTCTCCACCACTGAAGTTCAGGAGGCCAACTCTTTATGGAGAAAATTCCTTTAATTGGTCAGCTCCTGCTCCCTCCCCAGAACAGTCCTGGCACCCTGATCAGGTTGACTGTCCTGGTTTTCCCCCAGGTGCCTGGGATGCCTTTTCCTTATCTGTGTCCCAGCCCATCTTCGTCTCTGATGGCACTGCCACAAAATCCAGTGACCCCATTTGCCAGCAGGCAAGACAGGCAAGAGGGGCCACTGGTAGGTGGGCGTGAGGGGGGCCGAGGCACATGCAGCTGGTGGTGCAGCTTCAGGTGAACATGCTGGGTGAAGCGACGTGGGCAGACACTACACTGGAATGGCCGGGCCCCCGAGTGCAGGCGCAGGTGGGTCTTGAGGTTGCTGGAGCTGCTGAAGTGCTTGTGGCACAGCTGATGGGAGCAGGCAGAGAGTCATCTTTGTCCTCTGGCCTGGCTCAGGGCGTCTGCTCCCCTTTCCATCTTGGTAATAGTACCACTCACCTCTTTGACAATGAAGGCCCAACAGCTTTTCTCAGTGATTTCTCCCAGGGACACACAATCCCTGCTACACTGGAGTCTGGCAGATCATGTGTCATGTACTGGTTTTTTACTCCTTGTGTGACTTTGTACAAGTGACGTCTCCTCTCTGAGCCTTGCTCTCCTTACTGACAACACATGGCTATTAATATCTAACCTCATAGGGTGTGTGGTTCACTGAACGAGATCATCATGTGGAAGCCTTAGCCCAGTTCTTGGAGCTACATCATAATCATTGAACATAATTAGCATTAGGTCAATAATTAAGCGGGTGTTGCCACATGCCGGGGATTCCTCCACTGAAGTACACCTATGGCCTCATGTGACAGTCGGCCCTAAGACCCTGTGACCAAGTACTAGTACAACTCCTGCATTCTAGTGAGAAAGCTCAGAGAAGTGATGCCATCAGCCCAAGGTCACACAGCAAGTCCGAGGCTGAGCTGGGATTTGAACCCTAGTAGCCTGACTTTGCAGTCCACAGATCACCATGCTGCCTTCATGTCTGCCTCTGTAAGGCGGGGAAAGAATCCCTGCCTGTATGACGTCTGTGATTGTGGTGAGGCTCAGTGAAAAGCAGCTGATGTTAACATTCCTTTTGGTAATCTGTATACCTTCCTGCAACCCTGGGAGATAACTCATTGCCTGTGACTCATCACAGCTGACCTTCCAGTGGGATGTCAGAGGCTGTACATCACACAGGAGGAAATTACCCCTCTTTCCCCCTCAGAGCTGCTGATGGGCTTGAAATGCCTGAGAGGCCTTTGGGTTCGAAGAGCACGACTCTCTGAACTGCACCACCAGAGGGCCCTAACCCTGGTAGATAGGGAACAGAGGTCCTCCTCCAGGTCCCGCAAGTGACTTCCAATATTTCATCCCAGAACCTCCAGGCTGCAAAGGATATAATTTTCCCCTCTCCCACCACCCACTTGCTTGGGAGTACTGAGGTGGGGACCATAGGTGCTGTCACGCCAGAGGCCTAGAACGCTCAGCATCTGTGGGAGCATGGGGGTGGGGAGTAAGGTCTCACCGGGCACTTGTGGGGTCGCTCCCCAGTATGCACCAACTGGTGCTTCTGCAGATGGGCAAGCTGGGTGAAGTTCTTCTTGCACAGGGCACACTGGAACGGGCGCTCCCCACTGTGCACACGCAGGTGGACCTAGGGAAGGGGAGCAGAGAGGGAGGGAAATCCTGCTAACTGCCCAGAATCTCACAGCGTGGCTGGCATCCTCTCCAAATCACTTTCTAGATTTGCCCAAGTGCCCCCAGGACCTCTTTTGACAGCAAAGTCTCCATTATCTTTCCTCTCTATCGCTCCACTCAAGGCCTTGCACCGTTCCCTAGGGCAATCTGCTTTCTCTGCTACTCTATGGGGGAAGAGATCGCTATAGTCAGAATGTCAGGTGGAAAGCACCCAGGCATATCCTGGACTGGTGCTTCTCAGACAGTGAGCCACAGGCCAGCACCATCTACAGCACCTAGGAGTGAGTGAGTTAGGCGCTTCCTCAGACCTGCTGAATCAAATATCTTAGAATGACATACATGTTTACCATATTTCCAGGTGGTGTGAAGCCCATCAAAGCTTAAGAATCCAAATGGATCCAGTAGGGTTAAGCGTAGTGTCCCAATAACCCTATTTCCCCCCTGAACTTCAGTAGTTACCAACTTGCTCATAAGCAGCTTGGTTTTGTGAAAACGCAGCGACGTGCTCATGATCGCCCTCTCCTGGACCGTGTGGGTGAGCAGTGGGATCTCACTTGGAAGGCTCAGTTGTCTGGACAGTGGTCTAGGTTCACTAAGGCCCACCCAGTTCCCTAACTGGCCTTCCAAAAAGATTGGAGGATGCTTCACTGTGAATCTGGAAATAATTGCTGTCCAGAAAAGGGTGTTGTACTAGGCTTTGAGAGATTGTGCTCAAAATGATCTCTGGGAAGCCCTTCCTAATTAGTTCTCCCATCTTTAACTTAAACGAGATGATCTCATATACAGGCCCTCAATAAAAAGGATTGAGACAATGACTATCCCAGGGGTTAAACAACATCGTGAGGGTGGTACAGGATAGGGCAAGTTTCGATCCATAGGCTCACTGCGAACCTTAGGTCGACTCAATGGCACCTGATAACAAACAGCAAAAATATATAGACTGTTAGGGTAGAGAGGACACCCTGTGTCCATCTTCTCCTTTACTGCCTCCCTACAGGTGAGGAAACTACAGGCCAGAGGGGCCAAATGAACCTCTGAGGTCATATAATATGACAGGCTACTTAAGAATTCCTTTTGACAAATACTGCATGGTGCCACTGTTACAGAAAGTGACTGACATCAGGGTTGGGGTAACACTGAGAAAGACTGGATAGATTATGTATACTGAGCTGAAACAGATGAGGGAGAGAAGAGTTTAAAAGTGATATATGATAGCATATTGTGATTATCACAGGAATCCAGAATTAAGGTTGCATAGTGGAGTGCATTTGGAGTGGGGGGGGCAGGGGCGGGGCCGGGGGAGATTGTGTACCAACGAAGAAGTTTATCTTTTGCTTTTCAAAGAGAGGAGTGAACTGGGGGGAGGGGGATTAAAAAAAAGTGCAACAATGAATGAATAAAAATCCAAAATCTCTGTAATGTTCATTAACATGAATAATAAAAAAAAAGTCTTTTGGCTTTAAGGTCCCTATTTCTAGGAACAGGACTGGGGAGAGGGTGAGGGGTCAGTGAAGGGGACAATACCTTGAGGTTGGAGAGCTGCCCAAAGCTCTTGTTGCACACGTTGCACTCGTACAGGATTTTGCCGTTCTGCTTCTTCAGTGGGTAGGGCAGGGCTGTGGTACCGGCCCTGGAGCCTGATGGGGCCCGCTTTGTGAGAGCTGCCATGCTCACTTGCTCCAGGCCTGGAGAGCAGGGCTGGGAAGCGTCTGGGCCTGGATTCCTGGCTTGGGAGGGCAGAGCGTGGCCAAAGGCTTGAAAGCCCCCTGGGTTGGGAGATAGCGTCTCCCCCGGGGTACTCTGTTGTACGGGGGGGTCATTGGTGGTCATCAGAAAGCTAGGCACAGCCATGGTAGGGAAGGAGGTGACTTGGGGTGGCATGAAGAGGTGGGGGAACTGGACAGAAGGATGGGCCCCATAGGGGAACAGGTAGGATGGGGGCAACAGAAGTGGGTATGTGGGGTAGAAGGAGTGGAAGTGTAAAGGGAGCTCCTTGGAGGTTTGGGCAGAAGTGCAGCAGGGACAGAAAGCCAGGGGGATGGAGTTCTTTCTGTTCTGCCAGGGTATTGGGGCAGGGCTGCTTCCCCAAGCAGGGGAGGGCGAGCTGAGGTCTCGCTCTTCGGCTCTTTCCAGCTGGCTTCCCATCTTTTTCCTGCTTAGCAGGTACTCGGCAGTGAGTTTCTGGTCATCAGTGGAACTGGCCTGCAGCCATGGTGACTGGTGCTCTAAGCAAGAAAGAGAAGACAGCCCTGTAGTCTGGGGCTAAGTTTGCTCCCCATCAAGTCTGCCCAGCTCAGCTTGGGGGCAAAAACACTTCACCTCTGAGCTTCAATTTCCTGGTCTCAATTTCACTGCTTGCATTTCTGTTGTGCTTAGCAATTGCTGGAAGATGAACTATTTGAGATGCTTAAGAGACATCCTTGGTGGCTTAGTAGTAAGGAGTTAAGCTGCCAACCCAAAGGCAGGCAGTTTGAATCCACCAGCTGCTCTGCAGGAAAAAGACAGGCAGCAATCTCCTCTAATGAGATTTACAGCCTCTGAAAACCCGTTAGAGGGTCACTCATGAATCAGTTCTGACTCAATGGTACATCAGCCACTTGAGACGTTCACATGGACTAGTGATGTGGGCAGCTGGACTGATAGGTTTGGAGCTTAAAGGAGAGAGTTGAGCTGGTGATGTAAATCTGAGTGTGATGGACCAAGATGAGACTACATCTGCTTTGTCCAAAACGGCAGCCACTGTCCACATGCAACTATTTAGATTAAAATTCATTAAAATGAGTACAATAAAAAAAAATTCTGTTCTCCATTTGCATTAAACACAGGCAAGTGCCACAAAGGTATTGGTACAGAATGCCTCTATTATTTCAGAACAGTCTCTCAAAAAGCACCACTGCAGGAAAGGGAGGCGAGGAGAAGACTCTAGACTGTGTCCTAGAGCACACTAACGTTCAGAAGGGAAGTAGAAGGGGAAGAGTAGTTAGCAAGGAGATAGATGTACCAGTGAAGCAGGAATAAAATCAGGAGTGATATAAAATAAAATACTAAAAAGAATACTAAGAAGCAGGTCCATAAATACTGTCTCACTGGGTCTTCACTTATTTGTTCAATCAACTTGAATGAGTTCTGTTTGTTTGATGTTTTGTGCTGGGGTCCCAGGGTTAAAGGAAAGAGAGAAGGGTGATCCCTGCCCACCCAGATGTCTCAGTTGGATGAGAAGATGCTTTACCATAATACAACAAACCCTGGGATTTTAGGTGAGTTCCTCTTTTAAAAGATGAAGAAACTGAAGCTCAGAAAAGTATGGCGAAAACAACTATAAGATATCATCTCACCCCAGTAAGAATAGCAAAATTCAACAGAGCAGCAAACAGCAAATGTTGGCGAGGTTGTGGAGAAACTGGAACCCTTATTCACTGTTGGTGGGAGTGTAAAATGCTGCAACCACTGTGGAAGGTGCTGTGGCGCTTTCTCAAAAAGTTGCAAATAGAGGTACCATTTAACCCAGCAATTCCACTACTGGGAATATACCCTAAAGAAACCAAAGCTGCCACCAAAGCAGATATATGCACACCCATGTTTATTGCAGCTTTGTTCACAATAGCAAAGAGTTGGAAACAACCCAAGTGCCCATCAACAAACGAATGGATAGAGAAGCTGTGATATAGTCACACAATGGAATACTACACTGCATTGAAAAACAAGGAACTCAAGAAATATTATACAAAATGGGTGACCCTGGAGGACATTATGCTGAGTGAACTATCTCAGTTACAAAAGGACAAATACTGCATAATGCCACTGTGTAAAATGGGACTGACATCAGGGTTGGGGGGAAACTAAGAGGAGATAAATAATGTACACTGCATTGAAACAGATGAGGGAGAGAACTGTTTAAAAGGAATATATGATTAGGTATTACTTTTATGACAAGAGTCCAGAATAAGAGCTGCATAGTAAAGTGGACTGGGGGTGGGAGGGTGTTGTATTAACAATGAAATAATTTTTTTTTCAAAGAGAAAAGAGAACTAGGGGGTGGGATGGGCAGGGAGGAAAATGTGCAACAATGAATGAATGGAAATTCAAAGTCTCTATAAACTTTCATTAAAATATCAATTAAAAAAATAAACTAGAAACAAAAGTATGGCAATGTTTTCAAGAAAAACACTTTTTTTCCCCCCCGTAGAAAAAAAACAGCACAACCTGGATCTCACCTTGATTTTCTGACTCCCAGTTCAACAGTCCGGTAATAAGGTCCCTTCTCACCCAAACATTCTAGTCAGACAAAGTCCATCCCAGCCCCTGAGTAACTGGACCCACACACCGGCTCCCATAACATGCCTGAGCAAGCTACTACTGCCTGCCACCTCTGACTCAGGTGTCACCGCCTTGAAAGCCTCTTGCACAAGACTGTTTTCCAGACCAAAATGTGGGAATAAAGTCTATCTGAACCTCTGTCCTCACCAATGACATCCCCTCCCCCTCCCATCCTTAAAGCTAGGTATGCTTTCCCCACACCCCTGCCCAGCCTGCAACAGGGTGCAGCCCATGCCCGGACTTACTCATGTACAGGGTGTCATCTCTGAGGACCTGCAGACCTACACCCAGGGATGCTGGCTGCAGGGTGCAGAGATACAGTTCCAGGCCCTGGGGGCAAGCCAGCAGGGCAGAGCTGGCAGGTGTCAGTGGCAAAGGGCCCAAACAGCTGGCACAGGCCAGGCCATGGGTATTCACTGTGTCTGCGTCTGGAAGTAGCTTAGGACTTGAGGAGACCTGAGGGGCAGGAAAGAAGGGCCTTGAGGGCTGAAGGCTACAAATTGTGGGTTCTTGGGATGGTACACTTAGGTCCCTATGATCATATAATCTCGGTTTGGTTTCCAAAGGGTACAGAAAAGTTAAGTTCCCTACTCACCACCACTGTGTCTATCATCCTCTCCTAATCCAAAGACTTCTTTCTCCAAGGACCTTTTCACCCCTACCGATGGTTTTCCTCCCCCACCAAGCACCTTATCTAGGCCTATCCCTATTCTCGGTCATTCTTGACCACTCTGCTCTCATCACTTCTCAAATTGTCTACCTTGTATTGAATAGAACCAAAGACAAGTTGGGGAACATTCCCATCCAAAAGGAAATCGAACAGTATAGTCTTGATCCCCCCTTCCACTACGGCCTAAGGTCATAGATGTACCAGTTAAGTCTTCTATATAGACCTGTCCCTTCTCATTTCCTGGAGGAAAGTTTGGGCACTTGGGGCATGTCTGTCATTTCAAGGGCACATCTTCATCATGTGCCTGAAGTAGGGGAGCTGAGGACTTGGGAATGTTAAGGCTCTAATCCAATCAGATATTCCCTGCTTCCTCCTAACCTCCCTCCACCCATAAGAAGCTTGGCCTCAAAGATAAACAGGGATGCCACCATACCTGAACCTGGCCTCTTTGGCAGAAATGGAAGCTCGGACTGGGAGACAGAGATCTTTCTGTGGTCTTGGGCTTAGGGTGACAAGCCAGTTCTGGAGTTGGTTCTCCCTTCATGCCCCCTACCATCTGCTTGGAAGAGAATCATCAGTAGTGAATGTCTTCACCTAGGAGACCTGGGCTCTAGGGCTACTTCTGCCACTAACACTCAATGTGATGTTGGGCCAGTATCTTCTTTCAACAGCCTCAGTCTCCCTATCTGAAAAATGGGAGAGTTGAATTGCTGAAAGCATAGACTCTCTTGACAGGTGCAGGAAGCGGATTGGCTGGAGACCAGGCTAGCAGAAGTGCGGTGCTAGCCCTGCAAGAACCAAGGGAGGAAATCCTCATGGGAGTTACATTCAAGTGAGCTCAGAGGTATTGGGGTACATTTCCGATTGCTTCAGACCTACAGAAAATTGAGAAGCTATTTCCTTCCATGCTGGAAGTGATCTGTGACTCTGTCAACCGAAGGTTCCCCACCAAGGGGATCCCACTCTCCTTCCACTTGCACTGCCTCAAGCTCAGCTCTCTTGCTAGGGATAAATCCAGGATTTCCCAGGTGCCTCTGACTGGTCTTCTCACTAACCAGAAAATCACCTTCTTAATTGTCTGCTCTTTGTTGTTGTTGTTGGGGGCTATTGAGTCAGGATCAAATCAGTGGGTTTTCAGAGGCTGTAAATCCCATGGAAGGAGATTGTCCATCTTTCTGCTACAGAGCCAGCAGTGAAATCGAACTGCCTGTCTCTGGGTTGACAACACAACTCCCTACCCACCTGGTCAAAAGAGCTCCCTGCCTATTTAGTACTTTGTTTCTCTGCCACCTTTCATTTAAGACCACATATCAGAGGGCTTACCTCAGATCTACAAATGTCTCAAGACTCCTTCCCCTTCTCCTCAGCATTTGTTCTTTCTTCCTTAACCTTAAATATCCCTCACAGTTGAGCAACACCCTGTTGCACCGTTTCAACCCTCCAAAATCCCTTCTCCTTTCCCTCTTTCCTGAGTCCTCCAAACCCTGTCTCAAGTCTCAGAACAAAGACTATGACCCTAAAAGAGTCACCTACATGTGAGTCTTCCCCTGGTTCTGCAGCAGTCCTTTCTGGCCTGGGAAGGAAGGTGGGTGGACAGGTGGACAGCAGCTTGCCTTCAACTGAGGTCCCAGTGAGTGTGCGAGATGACAGGAAGAAGCTACATTTGAAGTTGCCACAAATAGGAAGAGGCGGGGGTGAGTGGGCAACTCAGGGGCCCTGTGAGTCCTAACAAAGAGGAGTTGCCAACCAACATTTGTGCACCTGTGACAACTTCCCAGGGTACCTTGCTGCTTTCTGGACCACAGTGAACTGGGGCTGCTGAAATTTTTATGTGGGATGTATGTATGTAATAATGGAAAATAGCTCTGGTTATAAAAAAATCATAGGATGGGGATGTAGCAGGGCTCAAAGGCTGGAGGCTAGTGTCCTTGCAAAAGTGTGGGCCAAGCTGAACTGGAAATGAGCAATGACGATGTCAGGAAAGACATGGTGATAAACAGGGACAGGAGCAGGCAGAGATGGTGACAGAGAGGGCAGAGATGGTGGCAGACAGTAACAGGAAGAGATTAAGACAAAAAGACAACACCGAAGGATTTGGGGTGAGAGGAAAAATAGAAAAGAGATCTGACGTTACAGAACAGAGGCAGGACACAACCTCTTTCTCCTTCTTGTTCCATCTCTAATCTCCCTAGTCTCTTTTGTCATCTAACTCAGAAATCTGAGACCCAGGGTAAGAGATAGTTCAAAGAACCAGAAAGATGTGTATAAGGCCAAAAGAGATGCCTCATACACCAACAAGTGTTTCCTTTGGACCTCCTATGTCTTTGTTCAGGAGAAGGTCCACCACCTCCAAGCCCACACACAGTTCTATACCGACTGTGTGTCCAAATCCCATAGTATCTGACTCAGAGTGACAGCGACACAGTCCCAATCAATCACCAGACTCTCATCCAGTGGCCAGGAGCACACAGGGACATCTCAGACTCGCCACTTTGGGAAGAGATGTGTTACTGAAGCTTCCTTATCAGGTCAGCCCCTAGAAGTCATTTTCATCCCTACTATGGCCTCCATCACTTTCAAGCATAATTATTTGTCCATATAACTCACCCCACATATCTGTAGCTTGATGCCAGGTACCACTATCTACTCATCTTGCTATCTTGTCTGCAGATTTGTAGGGTTTTCAGATGCCTAGCTTCTGGACTTTTCACCTACATGAGTCATGAAGGACACAAGACATTTCCTTCCACTAAAGCCCAAATTGTCAAATTCTTGAATCCAGTATCCCCCTCACTAGTACATGATGTGAGGACCTGACATGGTCTAACTAAGGCAGTTTAAGTCCTAGCCAGACTGTGGATCAGAAGGTCCAGAGAAATAGGACAGTGGAGATTCTACTCTCAGAGCGGTAATGTGGCTACACCTGGCTCCCAGGACAGCAAAGGAAAGAAAAAAGTCCAGGAGAAGCCTGAGTCCCCCCATGGAGGGGTCCTGGAAAATTATTTTTTTTAACTCATAGTTGTGAGGTTTATTAGGTATATAGAGAGTAGGGGAGGCAAAAATTATGTCACAATGCAAGTCCAGGTTAAGCCTAGCAGTTCTAACCCAAATTAGCAAGGCACAATTCCTCAATTAGTGGCAGTCTGGGTTCAGTTCATCAGCACAAATGCAAGAACCTCTGGCTTCCTCAATCATCTAGCAAACTTTATCTCAAAGGAGTTATGTCAGATTTTCCTTCAATCATCTGGCAAGGAAACCTTTAACTGTATAATAAATGCAGGGTTCCTCTGGTTACACTTGCCACAGTCCCTTCCAAGAAATGCCACAGTCTCTTCATAGCAGTGTCACGGTCTCCATCCTCCACCACTGTCAGCAGAGTATATAACAGCTCCTTCTCTCTCTTATATTGGTCCCACAGCTGTTTATTATTTGCAAGACCATGTGTCCACAGTTATGGTAGATAGAGAGCTGCCCCACCCCACCTCCCACAGAGTCTAAGTTAATCTCTAGAAAAGCCAATTTGTAAGGTTTCTACCACTATAATTACAAACTGGTTAAAGTATTTAATCTCAGATTTGGAGAATGTATTCCATTGTAGCTGGAAAATGATTTTGACTGCTCCCGGTCTCCTTAAATCCAGTTCATTCTCTGATCCTAGCCCTATGGCCTTCCTAAACTTTTTGTGAGCTCCTCTGATAGCTATTCAATAGATTCTTTTACAGCTGAAATCCCCTTGAAGTAGTTTCTACAATTTACAAACAAGAATGCTTCATTAATACAATTATTAATTGTATGAAGTAAAAGAGAATGAAGGTCTTCAAAGGCTCAAAGACAAAATTAGTCCCAGGGACTCACAACCCACTTGAATACCCTCCTCTAACCTGAAGCCAGAAGTAGATGATACCCAGCTATTACTACCAACTGCTCTGAGCAGGGAATTAACAGTCCCAGAGAGAATGGAATTAAAATGTAGAACAAAACCCAAATTACTAAAAAAAAAATGCCAGAATTACTGGTCCTATGGAGTCTACAGGAACCCCATTCAAGAATCTAATATAACTGTGGAACTTGCATTTGAAACTATTTCCATAGGTCACTTTTTAGCCAAATAATAGATTACATACACAAAAGGAAAGGAGAGGAAACAGGTTCACTGTAGCAAATCAACAAAACACAAAGCAAGCAGTGTTAAAGAACAAAGACAGAGAAGGCTGGAGACATATAAAGCTAATAATAAAACTTCAGAAGTAAAGAACTTTTTATTAATAACTATAATGAATATAAATGGACTAAGTGTTCCAATCTAAAGGCAGAAAGCAATAGAATAAATAGATTAAAGAAAAAAAACATGACTCAACTACATACTGCTTATTATTGTTGTTAGGGGCCGTCAAGTCGACTATGACTCACAGCGATCCTATGAACAACAAAACTGAACCCTGCCCTATTCTGTACCATCTTTAAGGCCTCTGATATGTTCAAGCCCATTATTACAGTTTCCATGTCAATCTATTTTGTTGAGGGATCTTTCTCCTTCTCTAACCCACCACCTTTCCCAGAAGGACATGATTTTCCAAGGACTGACCCCCTCCTCACGTCCCTGACAACATGCCCCAAATAAGTGTACACTGCTTAGTCACACCTTAAACTGAAGAACACAAATAGGCTGAGAAGGAGACAATGTGTAAAAATATTTTGTGCAAATAATAATCAAAAGAGAGCTGGAGTGGCAATCTTAATATCATATAAAGTAGACTTTAAGATAAAATCTATTAGAAGAGATAGATGAAAGTGACTGTTGAATAATAAAAAAGATTTGTTGTTGTTGTTGTTGATGAGTATCCTCACAGAGCTGCTGATGGATTTGAACCATATGCCTTTGGGTTGGCAGCACAACTTTCCTTACCACTAAGCCACCAACACTTCCTCAAGAAGATGTGACAATAGTAAATGTATATTCACGCAACATTGGAGCACCTCAATATATCAAACAAACACCAATAGAATTGAAGAGAGGAAATAGATACCACCACAATAAAAGCTGTTGACTTCAATACTATTAGTATTGCTGCTCTACTGGCATACTCATAGGGATTTGTGCTGCTCGCCCAAAGCTTGCACCTAGAATCCAATAGTAGCTCAATTGGAGAAAGATGGGTAATCTCCTCCTAGGCAATTTGCATCCTCAGAAATCCAGTGGAGAGTCACTGATAGAATTGAAGAGAGAAGTGGCTATTGCTACAATAATAATAACAATAAGGAGCTCTGGTGGCCTAGTGGTAAGAAGCTGTACTGCAATTCCAAAGGCACACACTTTGAAACCACCAGCTGCTCAGCAGAAGGATGGGCAATCTCCTATCATGCTATTAACTACCTCTGAAAACCCACTGGAGGGTCAGCTATGGGCCAGTTTTGACTTGATGGTACACAACAACAGTAATTGGTGACTCCAATACATCAATATCATTATTGGACAGAATAGGTAGAAAGAAGTTCAGAAGGAAACAGAGAATGTGAATAATAACAAGAAAAAGAAAACTTTGA